ATATATATATATATATATATACTTACACATATAAACATATATTATATCAATGTTTTAAATTCTTCAGTGCATAGTTGAATTTTGTTAAGAACGAACAGAAAATGTTATATTAAAACAAGAGTGGCAAATTAATATCAAATATATTTTTTTTTAGAACACACACACGCGCGCATAAATATAAATTCTTTTATTTCGAGTCATGAGTATCGGCGACGTATGGTTGAGAGACACCGTGATGTCATACGGAAAAATAATTGTAACATTAATCATATTAATTTATATAATCTTTAGAAAATGGCCAAAATTATGTGCAATTGTTTACAAGGCGCATCTCCTTGGATTCGAGATGGAGCTCGCGGAAATTGCATTCCCTTACAAAAAGGAATTGTTTAAAATACTTGAAACTATTGTTTCCAATGATGAATCACTTCGATCTAAAGGATGCATTCGCGTACTCGAAATTGGAGTTAAAACTGGTGCATAATTAAAAATTATAATTTATTTCAGTTTTACATACTTTAATACCCTCGTAGTTACTAACCACAATCATAACTATTTTACATTTATTTAACTGTTAATACATGTTGATAATAATAATAATATATATATATATATATATATATATATATATATATATATATATTATTAATGAAATATTAATGAAATAAAAATTAATAATAGCAGGTATATGTGTAAGGAAAGTGAATCATTTTAATTGAAATACTTAAATGCGGTTTAAAAAGTAGTAATAATCTATTATAAAATAGTTTCCATAAAATCATTAAACACAACATCACAAAAATTAAAATGATCCACCGTGTATAGCACGTAATCAAATATACTGTATAATTATATTCGAAAAATTGAATAAAAATAAAACTCTTTAAAAAGTGCTAATAAATTTTATTTAAAAAATAAATTGAACGAAATAAACAGAAGCAATTGAAGAAAACAATAAAACGTAAATGAATGACATATTATTTATTTCAATACGCTGAATAATTGTTTATAAAATAATTAATGTTTGCAGGTGATAATATTCAATTTTATCCAGACAATACTCATTTTATCGGTGTTGATTGGAACACAAAGTTGGCAGAGTACCTTAACGATGACAATCATTCCTGGCAATTCGGACATATATTCGTCGAATGTTTAATTATCGGGGATGGCAGTAATTTAAAACTCATTCCTGATAATCACGTAGACGTTGTAGTATCGACTAGATCACTTTGTTCGATTAAATTACCACTAAATGCTTTAGATGAAATTAAACGGATCCTCGGGCCGGTAAGAACAAAAGTTATTTACGTTCCACAATCAACCAAATGAAAGAAAAATTAATGGAATAATCAAATAAACTCATAATTTAAAAAACAAACATAAATTCAAATCATCTTTGACAAAAACAAAAAAGAAAAATCGAATTTCCAATTCATCAAATTGGATTTAATCAATCTCATGAAATAATAATATTTTTTATTAGGGTGGAAGATATGTCTTTATGGAACACGTTCCAGAAACAAAAGATTATTTTTTACGCTGGATACAAATAATATTAACGCGATCAGGGTTGTGGCCGTCGTTATTCGGAAATTGTCATTTGGATTTTGATTTTATAAAAGAAATTAATGACGCTGGTTTCAAACGAGTTACATCAACGTTGATCATGCTAGACGGTCCTGTTTCTCAAACTTTACATTTAATGCTCACCGGTCAACATGTGCTAGGTGTAGCAATGCAATAAATAAAAATGTTCTATTTGTTTCTTTTTTCTTTACATATATATAACATATATAAGCAAGTAAATTATTTCTTTCTCATTTATTTTCCAAGATTACTTATTTCGATTACGCTTTGTAGGAACTATGTATTTAAAATTATATAATACCTTAATGTATTTATTATCTTTATATTTTTAATGTAAAGTTAAAAGAACAATTGTTTGTTCGTATATTTATTTTCTTTATTTTTTTTATTAGAAAATGAGTCATTAATAATATAATTACATATATAACAATATTATTAAACATATTAATGTAAGAAATTATTTTTATTCGCTCCTACTTGAATCTGATTCCGTTTCATAAACTTGAGTACAGAAAATTTTCTTCCGAGATTTATTCTTTTTATTAACAATTGATCTTTTCTTATTTTCCTTCTTGAAACTTGAAGTTTTTCTCGCTACTCTTTTTAACGTTGTATTACATTGTTTATTGCCAGAAGAACATGTCATATTAACTTCAATTTCATTCATTCTGGCATTACTTAACAATGTATTTACATTATGTATAATAGAGAGATTCTTATTAGAATGAGATCTAGTTTGTACAGAAGAATTCTTATCGGTATAGTTAGATAACATGAGTTGATTAATCGATTTCACCATATCATTATTATCGTTAAGTAATTTCGTATTTTTTCTTTCGCGCTGCTTTTTATTATTTTTGTAAAAATGTAAAATGCATTCCATAAATGGTTGACTCGTATTCAATTCTGAATCTGAATTTGACTCTGAATTTGAATCTGAATCGTAATGATGGGTAGAATCATTATTAGTAGTGTAAAAAATTGGTAATCTTTTTGTTCTTGTAGATCTTATTTTTTGACCAAGGGAGGACTCATTTCTCATCGAGTTTGAACTATCTACAGATAGATTATTATTTTCTCCTAAATTATCTCTAGATTTTTTCTTTTTTATTTGAACTTTATCATTCTTACTTGAATCTTGATATCTTTTATTATTACTTTTATGCAAACTTTTAACATTATTCTTCGGTAACAATCGTTTCAACTTTACAATCGGTCTAATTGACAATTTACTATCTGAACTTATCAATTTATTCAACTTTTCCTTGCTGGAAAGCGTATGATCCTTTTTCAAACTTTTTAGATCTCTTGAGTTTTTAAACATCACAATTGGTGATGTATTATTTGAAATATTGTTTGATATTGTCGTACGTTCTTCTTTTTGCAACTGAGAATAGTAGCTACGTAATTTTCTCGATATATGTTTTCTTCTTTTATTGATAGATCTAATTGATGTTTTTATTTTTATATCATTTGAATTGTTTTCTCTACTCTGTATGTTCAATCGTTTGATAGCTACCACAGGTTTCAAGCATTTCACTTTTTCGTCATTTATATTTTTATTTAAATCTTTATCCAATTCTTTATCTAAATCTGTATCTAAATTTGTACCTAAACAATTATTTGAAGTTTTATCTGTAACTTTATTTAATTGATTTTGTTCTAAATCTTTATCCAATTGATTTTCTTCTGTAACTTCATTCGATTGATTTTGTTTTTCATTTCTATCAGATTGATTCTGTTCTAAATCTTTATCCGATTTATTATTTACGTTATCAGGATTTGATGAATGAACAGGACATAAAATAACAGTTGAACAATCACTTTCATTAAAATTGTCAGATACCGATACATTATTATTATTATAAAGGATAGTACTAGCTCCGCTATCAATCGAATCCTTACTAACAATTGTACAATTTAATATTGAATTGGTGGTATTAAGACATGTTTCAAGATTGCTGTCGTTACACATATCCTCATCATTAATCTTGTTGCTTTCCATTAATTTTTCTTTCGGGGTTTGTAACGTTTTCTTCTTTGTGTAACATTGGATAACCTCCTCCGGCAAACGTTCCAAAATAACACAAGGATTAAGCTCACTCTGTAATATTTGCTGAGAATCCTTACTGATATCGTCAGTAGTAGAGTCAGTAGATGTTTCCTTGCTAAATGCTTTCTTCGTTTCAGATTTTCTTTTTTTAGGACATCGTTTTATATTATTAACGTCCTTAATATAGTCCAAAGTTGGGAAACGTTTTATTTGTTCTACCAAAGCTTTACATGATAATTGCATTCTTTCACTTGGCATTGAATATTGAAAGATCGTTAAATTATCTACAAAATCTATAAAATCCGTTTCTTTTTTTGTGTTACAAGTCTCTTCTTCTAGATTGTTAGTTGTCTTATTGTCTAGAGATTTTTTAATAAAATCATTTTTAGCAAAACTCCTTTTTTTCCTTTTCTGTGATGACTTTTTCGACGACTTTTCCGGTGGTGGACTGCTTCTAAAAGCAGGATGTAAATTCTTCTTCGCATCAAGAATATTCGTATTCTTAAATTGTGTCACTACAATATCCATAGGAGAATCTCTGCCAGTGTATAATTTCTTGTGTTTAGAAGGTCTTAAACTGAAGGAATTTTCCATATTTATTGTTTCATTTAATATGGTATCATTTTCAATGTTATTATCATTTTCCTTAGTTTTATTTTGAGTATGCTTTGTATTAGAGTCGCATGCATTTGACATAGATACATTTTGTGTCTCATCTTTTTCTAATGATGTATTTTGATGCAAAGTATTTTTGGATAAAATTTTATTAGGAGATTTGTTATTTACAACGGTAGCCATAGATTCATTTTTCTTTTTAGTCTTACTATTAGATAAAATATATGCAGTAGTGTCTACTGAACTGCAGTTAAAACTATTATTGTCGTATAACTTTATAGTGTCAGATCCGTCCATATCAACAAGTCCTTGTTTATATACAGTATCAGTAACTTGATTGCAGGTATTATAATAAGATTGTTTCTCATTTAATGAATCTGTATCAACAACTTCAGCATTATTCGAAATTGTTTGAAATGGTAAATAGCCCGTATTTACCCATGACTGTATATGCTTTTTTGTTAAGTACGACGGTTTTGTATAAATTTTTAATTTTAATTTCTTTTCAACTATAGATGATTGTTTGTCTTTCCTTTTTCCGTTGATTATCTGAAATAAGCATAAATAATAATAAATTATAAATATTATTATTCCTTAAAACAATGTGTCTTGGAAAATAAATTTATACTTTTTTAAGAGCTTTATCAAGAGACGATTCGGAGTACTTTTGGGAACTTGAAATTCTATCCGATGTTAAATAATAAGATCCATCCACATTCTTTTCCTCATCGAGCCTATAAAAATATATTCATTTAGATCCAATTATGATAATAATAATAGCACAGTTTTTTCCACTCAAACACTAGAGAAGGAACTTTTATACTTGAATGTTAAACTACACACAGTAAACTGACTAATAATAAAGAACAAATCAGATATGCAAAGAACAAACGCTACAAACAAAAATAAAAAGAAAAAACAAATTACAAATTACACCTCACTAGTAATAAAAACAATGTCGAACAAAATTGGATAATAAAATAGGAATAGGACCAGAGTCAGGATCCACTAATAAAATAGGAAAACCCATTGTTACTTGGTCAAAAAAGTCGTATAAATAAAATAAAGCCGGGTAAACAGAGTCAATGAACAAAATAGTAATAATAATAATTAAATAAAAAAAAAAAAAACTTTAATTATACTTTTCAGTATTATTGTATAAAGAGGATACTTCATGGTCACTATAATATTTAGTTTTATTAATTTCTGCCATTTTTATAATAAAACGAAAACACTACTGACAAGCTACACTCTACACTCACTCATTTTTGAAAATTTTGTTCACTAATTAATGAAAAAATATAAACATGCCCGTTATAAGACAACAACTCTGAATATATCTACAAATACTGTAGTTTCGCCAACTGTATAAGATTAAACCCAAAAATATTTTTCAAATACAGCTAAAATCATTATAATAACTTAATGCACATTGTAATTAATCATAAATAATTATATTTAAATAAATGAAATAAGTCTTCTTACATGTAATTGTATTTTAATAATTTATTAGTTTTTATTTTGAAATTATGGCGGGAAATGAAAATTAATATGAAAGATGGCCAACAGTGTGTGGCGTCGCGCACCAGCGCAGTGCCGACACCTCTCGGCCAACAGCGCGCAGCTGTAGCAGCGCGCGCAGGAAAAGTGCTGACACCTCTCGGCCGCCAGCACTAACATACGCAAGCACCTCGTGATGCGGTTCCGCAGGGGCATCTGATTGGCCTGACCACGCCTTTGATTGGTCAGAGCGGAAGAGTGACCACTGCGACCGTTGTGATGTGGATCACTTCTACTTCGTCCGTCGTACCGGCTGGTCGCACTCTTCTCATCGCGCTCTTGTATTTTCTGTGCATCATCTGTACGTAAGCACGTGGCACACCACGCCGAGAAATAAAATATCGTCCCAAGGGATCGAAAACAAAATCGGAAGTTTCTTTCCTCCGCACGGAGTCTCATTGGCCCAATCCTTTCTCCGCGGCCCGTTCTCGCGTTAGTGAGAACGTACCTTAACGCGTCTAATAACCTAGGGAAAGAAATTCCCAAAAGTGACGCTGCACCAATAAAATACATAAATTAAAGCAACACAAGTAAGTATTTCTATATATATATAGCTTTATTTAATGTTGTATCAACCATCGGGGATTATTAGCGATAAGGTAAATATTATATTTTATTTCTCTGTTTTAAATAATACATAGGTTAATTTATACAGAATAAAAATTAATGAAATTTAATACTTTTAAATTAACATATATATAAATGTTTGATGTAGTAATGAAGTTAGCTGTTTGAATAATATTCGTATCAATTTTATGTTGGTAATGAATAATAATACGAAATTAAGAATCAAGAAACATAATTAATAATTAATAATAAATATATATGTGTGTGTGAAATAAGAAAAAAATAACTATAAAAATAAAAATATATGTTATATAATAGGAGATTGCGCAATAAAAGTTAATCATTAAGCCGGGTTCATTTCCTAAAAGTCAAGTGTTTTCGTAAGATATTATTTTTTACGTAATAGATTAAAGTCTTAATCTATTAAGTGATATTGAAAAAACGGTATTCACCTTTTTAAATATGAATCTATTTGTTGCAGTCAAATCTAATCGTGCTGTAACTGTACGAGGAATATCATCTTTAGGTTCTTTTATTCGCAGTTTTCATTTATCACCCAAAACCATGGTTATTCCTGTAAGTTATCTTTTAATTTTATTTAATAATTTAAATTTATTAAAATAAATATATAATTTATATTTCATTTGATTTTGTTCAGTAGTTTTGGAATTTAACACAGTTTTTAGGTTATTATTATTATTATTATTATTATTATTATTATTATTATTATTATTATTATTATTATNGTTATTATTATTATTATTATTATTATTATTATTATTATTATTATTATTATTATTATTATTATTATTATTATTACTATAATATTATTAAATATTGTAATTAATGTAAATTACTTTGAATCAACTTGGAATTGTTTTTCTTTTTTAATGTGGAATATTTATTGATTCATTTTTAAATAATTAATTATAGCCAAGTCATCATCAAGCATTTTTTAAGAATTAATTTGTTTCTTCAAATATAAGCTATGTCATTATATTATTGTATTAATTATCATTGAAAATATGTAGGTTGGTAGTAAATTACCATCGGTGGATCTTTCCGAAGGTGTGCCACATAATAAAGTTAATCTAGCTAAATTAAGCTTAGGAAAGAAAATTATTATTTTTGGTGTACCTGGTGCTTTCACTCCTGGTTGTTCAAAGGTTAGAAATATTTGATTTCTATTTGTAAACATATTTTTCACATTGTATACATTTGATTAATCTTTACTTATTTATTTAGACTCATTTACCTGGTTACCTTAAAAAACTTGAGGAATTTAAAAGTAAAGGAATCAGTGATATTTGTTGTGTAAGTGTTAATGATACTTTCGTCATGAATGCTTGGGGTGAAGATCAGGGCTCAATAGGAAAGGTAATAAATAATAACTATAATAAATGACTATATTTTGAAAATCTTTTCTCATATGTTTTATGCATTCATTTATATATGTTTTTAAAATACAATTTATTTTGTTTTTCATTTTAAGATAAGAATGCTAGCAGATATAGATGGTTCATTCACAGATGCTTTGGATTTGTCAGTAGATATAGAAGTTTTAGGTGGTAAACGAAGCAAACGTTATTCCATGATTGTCGAAAATGGAATTGTAAAAGAAGTCAACGTAGAACCGGATAACACTGGACTTTCCTGCTCGTTAGCTGAACACATTAAACTATAAAAAATATGAGAAAATGATCTCATATTCTATTATAATTATTATTACTATAACTTTCTTCAATTACTACTTTTCTTATTATAAATTTAGTTTGAATACACGTAATCACATTTGTATTTTATTTTATTACATAAACAATAAATAATATGAAAAAAAGATTAATTAAAGTTCTAAGAACTAGTTAGTCAATGAATAAACAAATAAAATATATAATTATTATTATTAATTATATAGTACAATTAACAATTACATTGTTCTACATAATATAATATGTGGTAGAAATAAACAGCTTTATATCAAAATCAATGTAATTATTATTATGTAGTAAATATCTCTATAATTATATATCTATATAATTTGTAATTAATTGTAATTGTATGATGTGTTGTATATGTGTATCATATATTTATTTTGTATATCAAAAAAACTGTTAGCCATTATAGATACATATCAACGATTCACGTAAGGTTGGCAGCACTTATTGAGGTTAGTTGAACAATGTTTGTTTCGGACAGAGATTTTCTGGCGCCAATTGAATTCTTTTAATAATACATGTAATTTATAATAATTTTTAAAATGCCAGCGTTTTTGAAACATATCGAAGTAGAAAACTTTAAATCATACAAAGGAAAACTTATTATCGGTCCATTAAAATCGTTTACCGCGGTTGTTGGACCAAATGGATCTGGTAGGTTATAATTTTGTATATCAACATTTTTCTAATGTACGATAATAAACAATCTCTATGATGATTTATTATATTTTTTATCGATATAGGTAAATCCAATTTCATGGATGCCATCAGTTTTGTTATGGGAGAAAAGACTAGTAGTTTACGTGTCAAAAGATTCAGTGAACTAATTCATGGTGCTTCAATTGGCATGCCAGTGGCACGAAGGTATTATTTCTTTCAATAATTCATAATAACATTTATTTTATATATATTTTCAATGTTATCATTATTTTTATCATTATGCATTAGTGCATCGGTAACAGCAGTGTTCGAATTAGAAGATGGCAACGAAAAGAGTTTCATGCGTTCTGTCCAAGGATCTTCTTCAGAACATAGAATTAATAACAATGTAAGATTTCTATAAATATATAATTCAGTATATAATAAAACAATGTTTTTATTAATTATATTTTTTTTTCTGTAATAGGTTGTTACGAGTCAAGTTTATCTCAATGAATTGGAACAATTAGGGATTAATGTAAAAGCTAAAAACTTTTTAGTTTTTCAAGGTGCAGTCGAATCAATTGCTATGAAAAATCCAAAGGAAAGGACTGCACTGTTTGAAGAAATTAGTAATTCTGGAGCTTTAAAAGCAGAATACGAGAGGCATGTTTATTTCAATCTTTATTTATTATATTTCAAATTTGTTTCTGCTCGTATTATAATTAGAAAAGTTTATACAATTTAGATTGCGAACAGAAATGTTGAAAGCTGAAGAAGAAACACAATTTTCATATCAGAAGAAGAAAGGCATTGCAGCTGAAAGAAAAGAAGCTAAATTAGAGAAAGAAGAAGCAGAAAAATATCAACGTCTTAAAGAAGAATACGTAAGTTGTTTTGACAATTTTATTTGTTAAATATTATTGATTGTTTATAATGATCTTGATTGAACGTATAATTTTAGATAGAAAAGCAAGTAGAGTTACAGTTATTTCGTCTTTTTCATAATGAAAAAAGTATTGAAAATTTGGAAGTAGCACAGAAGAAGAAACAACACGAGATAGAAAAGATAGAAAAGAAGAAAGAGAAAGCGGAGGAACTTTTGAAAGAAAGGAAAAAGGAAGCTGGCAAATTAGGTCGTGATCTTGCCAAAATAGAACAAGATATTAGAGAAGTGGAAGTAGAAATCACTAAAAAAAGACCTACGTTTATAAAAGCAAAAGAACGCGTAGCACATATGCAAAAGAAAGTGGAATCAGCAAAGAAATCTTTGGCTCAGGCACGTATTGCAGATGAAGCTCATAAAAAGGACATTAATGAACTTCAGGAAGAATTGCGACAAGTCGAAGAAGCCAAAGCTGCTTACGAAGCTAGTATAGCTGGACAGTCGCAGTTGCAGGGAAGAGATGTTCAGCTTGAAGATGAGCAGGTATTTAAAGAAATTCATAATAAAATGAGCAAATAATAATTTCATTAAACGTTAAACATGGCGTGTAAATGTGGTCAAACTACACTCTTTATTTTATAATTTTAGGTTCGTGAATACAATCGTTTGAAAGAAGAAGCAGGCAAACAGTCGGCAAGATATCTGCAGGTTCTTGATTCCATTAATCGAGAACAGAAATCTGATCAAGATAGACTTGACAATGAAGGTAGAAAGAAAACTGAAATAGAAAATAAGCACAAGCAAAAAGGTCATATGCGCGATGAAGCTTTGAAAAGAGTAGAGAAACTAGAAGAACATATTAGAACGTCTGAAGCTGCGTTGGAGGATCAAAAAAAACTTAGAGCAGATCTGCAATCGGATGTTGGTACATCTAAGGATAAAATACAAAATTTGCAAAGAGAATTAGAGAGTATATCCGAACAACTGGGAGATGCTAAAGTAGACAAACATGAAGTATCAAGAACTAAGAAGAAGACAGAAATTGTAGAAAACTTTAAACGTTTGTTCCCTGGAGTGGTACGAAAAAACATTTTTCATTTTCTTTTACTCCTATTAATAATATATTCAATGAAAGCATTTTTCTAATCTTTGCAGTATGATCGCATGTATAATATGTGTGAGCCAATCCACAAACGTTACAACGTTGCTATTACGAAGGTACTTGGTAAATACATGGAAGCTATTGTTGTAGATACTGAAAAAACTGCTAGACAATGTATTCAGTATCTCAAAGAACAATATTTGGAACCAGAAACGTTTTTACCCCTCGATTACATTCAAGCTAAACCTTTGAAAGAAAGACTTCGGTAATACATTTTTGATTAAATTAATGATTAATTGATTACATACAATTATTTAATATTAAATATTTGAATACTTTCAGTAATGTTCAGGAACCAAAAAATGTGAAATTGTTGTATGACGTATTACATTTTTCACCTAAGGATATCGACAGAGCTGTATTATTTGCTACTAATAATGCTCTTGTTTGCGAGACTCCTGAAGATGCTAATAAGGTCGCTTATGAAATGGACAAAAAAGCTAGATACGATGTAAGTGTTGAAATAATTTTATTTAAATATATTTTTATGGTTTTATGTAATAATAAAAATGTATATTTTCATTTATTTGCAGTGTGTAGCATTGGATGGAACATTTTATCAAAAAGCTGGCATCATTTCTGGTGGTAGTTTGGATTTAGCTAAGAAAGCAAAGAGATGGGATGAGAAACAAATGTCACAATTAAAGGCGCAGAAGGTATTATTTGTTATATTTAGATTTAATATAACTAGATCATAAACATTAATTTGATTACAGGAAAAATTGACGGAAGAACTCAGGGAATCGTTAAAGAAGTCTCGTAAGGAATCTGAATTAAATACAGTCGAATCCCAAATACGTGGACTTGAAACTCGTTTGAAATACAACAAGAGCGATTTAACAGCAACTGTAAGCATTGAATTTATTTAGTTTCATTAAATATTTGTAGAAAATAATTATAAATAAGACTTTGTTTTATAGAAAAAACAAATTGCTGAACACGAATCTGAATTGGAAACTTTGCAAAGCGAATTAAATATGTTTGGTGTGAGTATAGATTAAAATTGATCATTTCATTATTTTTATATTAGAATAAATATTACTATACGGAAATATTTGATTAAATGCAGCCTACAATAGCTGCTATTGAAAAGACTATGGCTGAGAGGGATCAAGAAATCCAAAATATTAAAGAAAAAATGAACAATGTTGAGGACGACGTATTTGCAACTTTCTGTGAACAAATTGGTGTTTCTAACATACGTCAATACGAAGAAAGAGAATTAAGGTATTTATATGAATATTAAATTAAATAAATAATATTTAACATATCTAACATACATAATGAAATAATTATCATATTTTATTTATAACAGATCGCAACAGGAAAGAGCAAAGAAACGTATGGAATTTGAAAATCAATGTAATCGTATATACAATCAATTAGATTTCGAGAAACAACGCGATACAGAGAGTAAGCATTTTTTGTACAATAATAATATTCTTAATCTCATTTATATAATAATTATAATATGTTGGATTAATACAGGTAATGTTTTGAGATGGGAACGTGCTGTTCAGGATGCTGAAGATAAATTAGAATCAGCTAGGCAAACGGAATCCAATCAAAAAGCTGAAATAGATCACGATGAAACACAAATGGAACAACTTAGGTCAGCGCGTAGTGCTAAGAAAATGGAAGTCGACCAAAAAGATGATGAAATTGGTAAAGCTAGACGCGAAGTTGGAACTATTGCAAAGGACATTCAATCGGCGCAAAAACAATTAAATTCTATTGAAGCAAAAATAGAACAAAAGAAGGCAGAACGTCATGCTATCTTAATGCAGTGCAAGGTAATCATAATTTTAAGAATTGTATTGATTTCTGATCGATTTTAAATGTACTTATTGATCTGATTAAGATGGAAGATATTGCAATTCCAATGCTTCATGGTAATATGGAAGATATTGCTGGAGAAAATAGTACAGCTAATATCAGTGAAACGGCTATTGATTCATCCATGAGTACACAACAACAGTATGAACGTGAAAGACGAATCACTATCGACTATGCACTTTTACCAGAAACTTTGAAAGATATCGAAGAAGAAGATACAAAGAAAACTACAGATAAATTAACAAGGACAATCAACGATCTGCAAAATACTATTCAAAGGATACAAGCACCAAATATGAAGGTAAAATATAATGAAAGGTATAACATAACAGAAGTATTGATATAATTGATAAAATAACATGAATATTTTTAGGCTATACAAAAGTTGTATCTTGCTAAAGAGAAGTTACAAGAAACTAACGAGGAATTTGAACAGTCGCGTAAGAAAGCAAAGAAAGCAAAAACACAGTTCGAAAAAGTGAAAAAAGAACGACACGATAGATTTATGGCATGTTTCGAACACGTTGCTAACGAAATTGATCCTATTTATAAGGTTTGATTAACATTTATGATTGATAATCAAATTGTTCAATTGATAAAATCATTTACATCATTACTTCAAATTGATTATTACAGAGTTTAGCAAAAAATCAATCTGCTCAAGCGTTCCTTGGACCAGAAAATCCAGAAGAACCATATCTCGATGGAATTAATTACAATTGTGTGGCACCTGGCAAAAGATTTCAACCGATGTCCAATCTTTCAGGAGGAGAAAAAACTGTGGCTGCTTTAGCTTTGTTATTTGCGATTCATAGGTAAACCTACTTAACGAATTGTATTATACGTGTAAGAGAATGCGTTATTATTATTATTATTATTTATTTTAGTTTTCAACCAGCACCGTTTTTCGTTTTGGATGAAATTGATGCAGCATTGGACAACACTAATATTGGAAAAGTAGCGAGTTATATTAGAGACAAAACGAGTTCACTTCAAACTATTGTTATATCGTTGAAAGAAGAATTTTATTCGCATGCAGATGCACTTATTGGTATTTGTCCAGATGTAAGGTTTTTATTATTACAATTTTACGCGAATCAAATTACGGACAATATGTATTTATTTATTTAAATTTATCTACTATCACATATTTTAGTTGAATATTTTTTATTTCAGGTTGGTGAATGTTTGGAAAGTAAAGTTTTAACACTCGATCTAACAACACTTCCGACACATATTAATTAATCTTCAAGATTTTATTATTATTATTATTATTATTATTATTAAGATTTGACTTTATATATATATATATATATGTAAGTTTGGGAAATTGTCTTATATATATATATGTTTTCTTCTTTTTTCTTCGTTCGTTCTTCTTCATGTTACGATTTTATTTAATATAACAATATTTTATATAAGATAAGGGAGGGGGAGACGTATATAATATGAATACGATTAAAATTTATAGATTAGGAACATCACCAAGATCTTTTGAAACAAATAAAATTTTCTATGAAGCAAAAGAAAATAATTCATAATGAAGATTTAATCTCATTTTGATCGAGTAACTGCTTTATAATATATATATAAAAATATATGAGAATAATAGAAAGAAAAATATCTTCTGATAGTTATATTTTTTTACTATTTTATTATGCTGCCGATGATATGTTACGTGCAAGGCAATAATTTACAAAACTTGGAAATATAAAATTAAGGTGATGGACTTGTGCATAAAAACAGAAAGAAATAAAAAATAAATATCAAGGTAAAAATGTTACAATTTTATTCTATTATATCTTTACGTTGAAAAAGTAACATATTTTTTTTTATAAATACCTGTTGTATCTATACGATCATTTATTTTTGTTGGATTATTTTCAATGTTTGTTATATTTCATTAATTTTTTTCATTAAATAATTAAACGTTTATTTTTCTTTCTATTTGATTCAACATTGAAGTATAAATAATAAACGACATTATTTGGTTAAAATTGATATAATTGTAATGTGTTAATTAAATTAATGAAACTTATAAAAAAGAAAGAAAAAGTTCTCATATGAAATTTCGTAATGAAACTTCATATGATGTGTATGTGTAAATGAACATTTTTTCAATGAATAAATTAATTATATTAACAAAAAGAATAAAAATAAATATGAATGTATCTATTTTTTAGTAATATTGATAGATTAAATGAGAATACTGTATTATAAACACTTTAGATCTAATTACTATAGCAAGGGAAGTGTGATAGTAAGAAAATGAAATAGATAAGACCCTATGATCATTTTTAGATCTGTGCATCCCATCAGGAAACATCTGATGCAGTCATTTTGCAAGCAATTTCCTAATGCACTGCACTTGTAAGATGACACCAATATTAGCAAAAACGATGAAGTATTATAACTAAGTGTATTTTGTGTTATCCCAAATATAAAAACAAACTAAAAAAGTACAGTAAAGTTTAATAAGACACAAATAACAAATTGGACTAATTGATTGAATAATTGTATGAAAATAAAAAAAATATGTTAAGATGATAGTAATTCATAGAAAAGTAATAGAGAAGAAAATATAAGAGACTATGATTGTCTTTAATAAGCTGTTGCGTTTATTAGAAAATACGAGATGACAACTCTGATTTATTTATGCGTTTATAAGAAAAAGGAAAAAAAGATCAATGGTAACACATAGCAGAAGCCAATGCAGTTAATTACGGTTATCGCCTAGTTGTATATAAAGTAAGATACACATGCACTTCTAGGATGGAATGCGGCCAAAATGATGATTGTTATTTAATAAAGTTATTAAGTGGAAATGGCACACTCACCCTTTTATATCGAAGAGTATTGTATAGCAGAGTATACTCTCTCACTGACTAATCAAAATGAGAAAGAACTTGCTAGACCTACAAAACTAGGTCATATCTGACTTACTTAGAATTTAAGATCTGGATTGGAACCTGCATTTAAATACCAAGGACGCATGAAGTCATCTAGTCAACAAATATAAAGTACATTTCCCCTCGAACATTCGAATGAAATTCTTCATTAAAATTCAATTGTTAATTTAAATATTGTGAGAGAGATTTGAAATCAATATTTGTACAATTGTTCTACCCTTCTATATATATATAGGTATCTTTTAATTTAAAATTATAAATTCCATCCCTTATTTTGAGATACATCATTTTAAAGATAACAAAAACCTTTTTCAAACGATATCAAAAAATTGAATAAACATTGGTTTGCAACTTGTTCTATTAAATAAATCAAATTTCAAATTTGTTTAAGATAATCAAATTGAAAGCTGTACTCTCTCTAACTGTAATTAAACGTCATGGTTCATGTATAGTGAATATAAAATTGTAAGAGAAGGAAGAGAAGTATATACTTTGTATATACAAATTAAAGAGAGTTCAAATCATGGAGAACGAGAGATCGGGGGATACGGAAGAAGAAGAAGAAGAAGAAGAAGAAAATGACGGTATGAGTTACACCGTGTGCGCATCTTGTAAACTAGAGGATGATGACCTCCCTTGAGTAGTTACCAGAGCATCTGCTAAATAGATATGCGGGAGACAACACGGTTGTCACTAGTCTAGTTTGTCATCAGCACCGTAGCAGAACCGAGAGTCTCCTCTCAAAGGTTTTGAACAAGTCCTGTTTTCTTCAACTTCTACTTTAGGAACTTCAATAAGAAAAAAGGATTGAAAGAGGATACCTCGATGAAACGAGGGTACCTTAACAGGGCCACTTTTGGCCTATTAATATTCCAACTTTTATTACTACCCCAAGTTTATTCAGAAAAAACGAAACAGAAGAAACATCGACCTAGACAAGTCCAATCTCAACAGACTGTTAACGGTGAATACAGCGAATACGATTATTACGATAATTATGAAGAATATGAAGAGAAAAATGGTGAGTCTTTTGACAGAATGGAATTACAATTTTGAAGTTTATTAAATTATTTATATTAGGATTTTAAAATAGTATGACCAAGTTAAGATTTTATTAGGGTACACAAAAATAGTCTTTGCAACTCTTCAGTAATTTAGTCATTTGTTAAATTATTTATATATATTTGCATAGATACAATTGCATATTGTATTTAATTAATATAAGTAAATATTTCAGAACGGAAATTGAAGTCTCATTGTCAGCTCTACCGGAAGTCTTTAATTTAAATAGGATATCGCACTCGTTAACGCGACGTATAAAACAATTAGTCAATCGTTGTAATTGATAAAACGCAATTAATATTTTCTTTTTTAATTCTCTCTCTATTAATTCATAAATAATTTAATGCATTACAATTTCCGTTTAGATATTTTATACACCATAATAATTGTAATTCTTTTGAAATGAATACAGAGCATATATACATTTGTTATTTTTTATTTTATTCAGAGACAACGATACCATCGTCGTCCATACCTTCAATAAATAATAATTTAGGTAAGAATTATTTCACACAAAGAAATATTTCTATTAATTAAATATAATTTAGATAATAATGTTTTTTTTATTGTACAAATTACAGGACGTGGAAGAACAAATATTGACTCAACAATATCAACATTTAGGCCAGAATCAAATACAGATTTATCATCACCACCAACGACACGATTTTTTGAACAAGGTGTGTATTACAAATTACATGTTTTCCATTATTATTTATTATTAATTTTTCTTATTTTATGAAATCATTAGAAGACATACATTCTACGGTGGAAACCTACAACAATAATAATCCTGTAAGAGAAAGAAGAATTTATTTTTTAATTATCAATGAAAAAATGAATAAATAATTGAAAATATATTTCATTTGATATTATTTATAGTTAGTAACGGAAATAGTTCCTGGAGAAAGTAATTACATAAGTTCTGTAGCAGTACCTGGACCACGTGTGAGTAATTAAATGGATATTATTCAAAATATTATATATTGGTGAAGTATTTTATATTTTTCAAAACTATTTTTAACAACAGGGACAACCTGGGCGTCCAGGGGATAGTGGAAGACCGGGTGACTCAGGATATCCGGGACAACCAGGAACTCCTGGAATACCAGGACCACCTGGACCACCTGGACCTTTACCTGATGTAATCTAATCATATTTAATTAAAATTATTATAATAAAGGAGATCTTATGTTCTTAAATTAAAATATATTTTACAGGTATCACTGTATTATCAACAACTCGCTTTATCTCAAGCAAGCGATGACAAAGGTCCATCGGATCTGCGACCATATCCTCTACCTGGACCTGGTCCTGTTGGTCCTCGAGGGCCTCCAGGTACACAAATTATATTCCTGATTACATAAACTTTATTTTTTGTTTATATATTTTTAATTAGTATTTTAATAAGCGTACGTTTTTAAACTCCAGGACCAGCAGGTTTGCCTGGTCCGCAAGGTTTCCAAGGTCTTCGTGGAGAGCCAGGAGAACCAGGATTACCAGGTACACCGGGATCTCCTGGTCCACGAGGTTTACCAGGATTACCAGGAAGAGATGGTGAAGGTGGTGAGAATGGAGAAGTAGGTCCGCCAGGATCACAAGGACCAGTAGGACCAAGAGGGCTTGCAGGAATGCCTGGTTTACCAGGTGTTAAAGGACACCGTGGCTTTCCAGGATTGGATGGTGCTAGAGGTGAACAAGGTATACCTGGAGAGAAAGGATCCTCTGGAGCACCTGGTCCGATGGGACCAATAGGACCAGTGGCAAGTATCTCTTTAATAAAATAACAACAATATCTTATTATAAAACTTATGTACATATATTTGTAGGGTCCTGTTGGTCCACGAGGAGAAAGGGGTAGAGAAGGATTACCAGGACCACCAGGAATAAGAGGAATCGATGGAATTCATGGACCCCCGGGTCAACCTGTAAGTTACCCAAAAATAACATAAACTATTAAATGTAATTCACTTATTGTATAGGCGTTTTATAATTTGTGCAATGTTACAGGGTGCATTAGGTAAACCCGGTCCACCAGGGTTCCCAGGAAATCCTGGAATTAAAGGAGATCAAGGAGCTCAAGGCCCAAAAGGAAGTCAAGGCTTACAAGGTCCACGTGGTATGTCTGCAATGTTTCATTTTATTGTAATAGAATATTTATATTTTATTATTTTTGTACAGGCGAAGCAGGACGGCCAGGACAGCCTGGAGAATCTGGACCACAAGGTTTACAGGGTAAAGATGGAGTACCTGGTGAAAAAGGAAGCTCTGGTATACAAGGTTTAGTTGGGTTACCTGGTTTTCCTGGATCTCGTGGAGAACCTGGCATACCAGGTAATCCTGGTTCACCTGGAGCGAAAGGAACACCTGTAAGTTAATTTCTTTTATTTTTTTTGTACAATTTAATTAATTTTATATTGTATAAATATTTCTATTATAAAAAAATTATTAGGGGTTGCCTGGTGAAAGGGGATACAAAGGTGATACAGGAATAAAAGGTGATCAAGGATCACCAGGTCCACGTGGCTTCCCAGGATTACCTGGTACCGAAGGAAAGAGAGGAAAGAGAGGAATGCATGGTCCAATTGGACCATCTGGCCCACCTGGTGAACGTGGTATACAAGGACCACGTGGGTTACCTGGTTCTGATGGTCCTATGGGTCCCAAAGGTTCATTATCCAACTTATAAAAACCTAACAAACATACCTGATGCAATATTTATAATATTAATATATTTAGGTTCACCTGGCGATCGTGGATCTATAGGTCCAACAGGTTCAAAAGGATCAATGGGAGATCCAGGTCGTCCAGGACCACCCGGAATACAAGTACGTATATAAATACATACACAATACAAAATCAGGGTCGTATAAAATGACATTGTAAATTTAACAGGGTGCACGTGGTATAACAGGCCGTCCAGGATCACCTGGCAAACCAGGTAATGCAGGAGAGCGTGGAATTCAAGGTGCAGATGGAAGACCTGGTGACCAAGGACCACCAGGACCACAAGGTTTACCTGGAGCGTTAGGTCCTCCTGGAGAGAAAGGTTTTCCAGGTGAAGCTGGTAAAGACGGTGAGCCTGGTAATCCTGGTTCTCCTGGGCCTCGAGGTGACGCTGGTAAAGAAGGTTCTCCAGGATCACAAGGTCCACCAGGACCACCAGGCAGTGCTGGAGAAAGAGGACCACCAGGTTTAACAGGGCCCAGAGGTTTTCAGGTAAATATAATATTTTTAATGCGTATAATCAGTTAAATACAAATAGTAATAATAAATGTTTAAATTAAGGGTCTTCCTGGAATATCTGGCAATCCAGGTCTACCTGGTAAAGATGGGGAAATGGGAATTCAAGGACCACCCGGCCCTGCTGGTCCTGCTGGAAACAGAGGCGAACGAGGTTTTCCTGGTGAAAGAGGTTTAATTGGAGCACCAGGACTAGCAGGATCTCGAGGAGAACCAGGCATTCAAGGTGTCGATGGACTTCCTGGATTACCTGGACTCAAAGGAGAAATGGGACAATCTGGTCCACCAGGATTGGTGGGTTTACCTGGAATACGTGGCTTTCCAGGAGAGCCTGGACAGAAGGGTGAAAGAGGAATGTTTGGTCCTGTCGGACCAGAAGGACCATCCGGTCGTATCGGAGAGCGGGGTCCACAAGGACCAGTTGGTCCTCCGGGACCTCCTGGAGAACCAGCTGAAAGAGGTGATACAGGTTTGCCAGGCCCTCCAGGTGAAAGTGGAGCTCCAGGTGCGCCAGGAGAAAGAGGACCTCAAGGTTTACAAGGATTGCAAGGATTTCCAGGACAGCAAGGACTTATTGGATTACCAGGATTGAAAGGAGACCGTGGTTATCCAGGTTCTAAAGGGGATCAAGGAAATCCAGGATTGCCTGGTAATAATAAATTATTATTTTTTTAATTATATCAAATATTATACACTAATTAAAATGTTTATTATTTATTGTATTTATTTATTAACAGGTAGTCCAGGTGAGGTAGGCCCACCAGGTTTAACAGGATTAACCGGTGCAAAAGGAGCTAGAGGAGAACCTGGCCCCAGAGGTGAAACAGGCCTTATTGGCCCTCCTGGACCAGCAGGCATAATTGGACAACCTGTAAGTATACTTTTATTTGTCATATAAATTTAAATATTAATTGGTACTTTGTTTTAGGGATTGCCTGGCATTTCTGGTCCCCAAGGACCACCAGGATTGCCAGGTATAAAAGGTAATGCAGGGGATACAGGGAGACCAGGGAATCCTGGTCCTGTAGGAAACCCTGGAATCCCTGGTGCAGATGGAATTAAAGGTGAAAGCGGAGCACAAGGTCCACCAGGTTTAATGGGACCACAAGGATCGCAAGGTTTACCAGGTGAACGAGGTTTGCCTGGACTTCCTGGTCCATCTGGATTAACTGGTGCTCGAGGAATACGTGGTGTTACAGTAAAATAAATTATTTAAATAATATCTTGTATTAATTCTAAATAAAAAAACACATAATTAAATTATAATATTTTGTTAGGGTGAAACAGGCTTGCCAGGAAAGCCAGGATCAGATGGGCCACCTGGACCACCAGGATTGGTAGGTCCTACTGGACCTCCTGGCCCAGCTGGTGAACAAGGTCCTGAAGGACCAACTGGTAAATCAGGCCCACCTGGAATAAGTGGTCGTCCTGGTGATAAAGGACCACCAGGTCCAATTGGACCCGAAGGACCATCCGGACCTCCTGGTATTCCTGTAAGTTTTACTTAAACTCCAGTTATTTATTTATCCAAATTTGTAAAAGCAAAAATCACTTTGTAATATTTATTTAACATAAAGGGACCTCCTGGTAGTAGTGGATCACCAGGTCCTATTGGAGAACGTGGTCCAAAAGGAGAAATAGGACCACAGGGTGTAGAAGGACAACAGGTATATTTATAACATCTTTAATAAAATTTTTAAAAATTGTTTTTACTAAATAATTTTTGTAGGGTGCACGAGGAAAACCTGGTCCGATAGGATTGCAAGGTTCCAAAGGTGAACGTGGCGAGGAAGGTGTAAAAGGAGCCAAAGGACATCGTGGATTTAATGGATTACAAGGTTTACCAGGATCTCCAGGTATTCCTGGAGAAAAGGGTGAACCAGGAATGTACGGTTTACCAGGAAAAGACGGTGAACCTGGTGCTAGAGGAGCTCCTGGTAGAGATGGAAATCCTGGCTTAATGGGTCTCTCAGGAAATCCAGGACCAAGAGGACCACCTGGAGAAGAAGGTCGACATGGATTACCAGGTCCTCCTGGCCCACCAGGACCACCAGGACCACCTGGTGAACTTGGATTAGGCTACGATCCTGCTTCATTGGCAGCATTCATAGGTACAACATTTATGTTTTTAGTAAGAATTGTTGTAATCAAATTATTGTATTATTTTAATGGAAAATAACAAAAGTTCTGATACATTTAATTTTTTATTTTAGCACAAGGTCAAACAAAAGGACCAGACCCATTAATAGGCGACGAACCAATGAGATTATTTGGTAAAGAAATTACTGAAGAGGAACGCAAAAATCTCGTAATGAAAGCTTACGAACAATTAAAATCAACATTCCAAAAATTAATTAAACCAGACGGGCAGAAAAATTCGCCAGCTAAAACCTGTAGAGATTTGTTTGTCGCTTATCCAGAAAAAATATCTGGTAAGCATGCTTACAAAATGTATTCACATATATAATTCTTACAAAAATCTATATAGTATATATATATATATATATTTGTTTATTTAGGTGAATATTGGATTGATCCAAACGAAGGTGACACAAGGGATGCAATTTTAGTTTATTGCGATGCTGAAAAACGTGCAACTTGTATTTTACCGAGTCCAACTCGTACAGCAGAAATTAATTTTATTGGTGAACAACAAGAAGTTTGGTTGAGTGAAATAGAAAATTTTAAGGTAATATGTTTCTTTATTAATGCTATTAATGAAAGAGTTAATTACATTTTATATATTAAGTGTAATTATATTATTATTATTTTAGATCACGTATAAAGCAGACAGCAATCAAATAAGTTTCCTGCAATTACTTTCGAAAAATGCTCAGCAGAATATAACATATCATTGTAAGAGAAGCGTAGCATATTTTGATCCTGAAAGGAAAAGTTATAGAAGAAGCATGAAACTTCTTACTTGGAATGATGTTGAAATAACGCCGCGTGGTAATCAACGTTTGCGATACGATATGATTTTAGATGAATGCAGAGTATGTATTTGTTTTTAATATTTAATTTTTATCTAGTACACAATTATTTATATGTGTATATATATATTTTTTTATTTTTTTTTTAGTTTCGTCAGGATAATTGGAGTCAAACAATTGTTTCATATAACTCAGATAAACCAATAAGACTTCCTATAATAGACGTTGCACTACGAGATATTGGATTACCAGATCAGTTTTTCTCTATTGAAGTGGGACCAGCTTGTTATCAATAAACTAGATCATAATTATACAATGATCTACTACAAAGACATTAAGATACTTAATAGGAACGTGTATACGTTTTCCATATCATTTTTACATTTATAAACTACATTTATATTAAAATAATAATTAATCATTACCCTTTTTTTATATATATATATATATAATACGTTAACTTTTACGATGATAGCATTTGATACTTATAAATTTTCTATGATTTTAATCAAAATTATTTATACATATATGTGTCATTTTTGTATGAAAATATAATTTTATTTTTCGGTAGGTAACAGGTTCTGTCGATAACAAGTTTTGTAGGTAACAGATTCTGTCGTTAAATAGTAGGAATCAGTTTGCAATGTGACCACCAGAGGCGTTGCATTCATCGTTAACGTCAGCCATTGTCATTGCTGTTTAAGTTTTGATATTATATCGTGTCAATAAAGTATTTAAAAAAAAAATAGAATAATCAAGTGGAAAATCTACGAATGAGTATTCTTCTGATCATCAACTTTAATGTTAATTAAAAAAAGTGTGCGGATAAAGTGATAAAGTATTACAAGGAAAAGTGTAAGATGAAGTTATCAATTTGTTATATATTATCAATGAAAAACTTACTTTTATGACACACTAGTGTGCCAAATAAAAATTCACATTTAAAGTTTAATTTTATAAAGAAAATATTTTCAAAATTTTATATGCTTACGAGTAACACATAAAAGTTAAAAAAAGGAATTACAGTAAAAAAAGAATTAATCACAGTCACAAAAGTATTTATTTGTATTTGTTTAGAATAATAGATATTGATGAATGTCTGAGAGTGATTACGATTCAGTAGACGAGTACACGAGCCTGATGGATGGTCACGTTGCTGAGTCTCGTTCAGATGACCTAAGTTTGGTCAATGAACGAAGAAAAAGACGGTCAAGAGTTGAAAATGAAGAGGTGAATTTTATTTCTTATGATATCATTTATTTATATATTAATTAATTAATAATTTTAGTTAGGAAATGGGCTTCCCGAAGTTCACGTAGAAGCAGGTGGTGCATCGAACATAAATAGTTCTGGTAGAAGTGCATCGGGTTCTGGTAATCAACAAAGACAAAGACATTACAGGGATGAAGAGGAAGAAGAATTAAAATATGGAGCAGCACACGTCATTAAATTATTCGTACCTGTTTCTCTTTGTATGCTTGTTGTAGTTGCTACTATCAGTTCGGTTAATTTCTACACGACTAAAGGAATCTACCTGTAAGCGATAGAACATTATTTACAATTATCATTCTATTAGTTTTTCAATTGAATTAATATTTTTCTAGAGTTTATACTCCATTTCACGAAGATAGTGCAGATACAAGTACAAAAGCTTGGCAGGCGTTTGCAAATTCTTTAATACTCATAAGTATCATAGTCTGTATGACCGTGATACTTATTATTTTGTACAAGTATAAATTTTACAAAGCCATACACGTATGGTTAATTATAAGTTCGTTATTATTGCTATCCATGTTCTCTGTGCTTTATTGCGAGTAAGTATCAATCTGAGAAACAATATTTATCATCTCAAATATAATTACTTCATATTATCCATTAATTTTGTAGGCAAGTTTTGAAAGCATATAATATTCCAATGGATCTATTCACATTGGGAATAGGTTTATGGAATTTTGGTATGGTCGGAATGATATGCATTCATTGGCAAGGTCCATTACAACTTCAACAAGCTTATCTTATTTTCATTTCCGCTTTGATGGCTCTCGTTTTTATTAAATATCTACCCGAGTGGACTGCATGGGCAGTTCTAGCTGTTATCAGTATTTGGGGTAAGGAATATAATCTTATTTCTATTCACTGTATTATTGTTTAAAGAAAAATAATAAATATATCGTATATTTTAGATTTGATAGCAGTATTGTCACCTAAGGGTCCATTAAGAATTTTGGTTGAGACGGCACAAGAAAGGAACGAATCAATTTTCCCTGCACTCATATATTCATCGACAATTTTGTATACGTTTGTTCACACCGTGACTTATGCTGGATACGTGCAGGCAGCAACTATGGCCAGTGGAGATGCGACAGGCAGAGATACGGCAGTCTCCTTCACTCGTACTGGAACGGATAATCAAAATAATCCTGCATCAGGAGATGCAGAAGAAGGTGGTTTCACACTCGAATGGATAGAAACGCATGGTAATTAAACCGAAGTGCATAGATAAAAATTATTCTATAGCGTGATTATTTTACAATAACAGGCGACCGTAGTGCTAGACGTGCGCAAGAAGTACTTGAAAATTCAATTGCATTAACTGATGAAGCTAGACAACGTCAAAATCGTTCTACCGAGACACAACCAGTTCAACAAATTGCAGTTACTGAAGAAGAACGAGGTGTTAAACTAGGACTTGGTGATTTTATATTTTACAGCGTACTAGTTGGAAAAGCATCGAGTTATGGTGATTGGAATACAACTTTGGCATGTTTCGTCGCTATACTCATAGTATGTTTAAATATTTCTTCCCTTTTTGTTTAATTAATAACTTAATTATTAAATAATTTCATTATTTTGTAGGGTCTCTGTTTGACGCTGTTACTTTTGGCAATATTCAAGAAAGCATTACCTGCATTACCAATTTCCATTTCATTTGGTTTAACGTTCTATTTTGCTACAAGGGTTATTGTTGCACCATTCGCTGATAGTTTAGCAAGTGAACAAGTCTTCATTTAATTCTATATCTTGATAAGTATAATACTTTTCTTTTCATTTTTATTCTAATTTATTACTATAAATAATAGTAGTCGTGTCACATTTTTTTCTTATTTTCTTTTTTATTTATTTTCTTTTAATTCTAATGTTTGATCTTATCACCTTTTTCGCATTTCTTTAAAGTATGTGTAAAATTCTCAAAATTGTACAAAAAGGTAAGGGATATATACATACATTTGTATATCACATATACATATATATATATATATATAAAGAGAGAGAAGGAGATTAAGTGAAATAATAAGAAAGAATAATAGAGAACGTAATAAAAAAAAAATTATATTTACGTATTTTTAAATAATTGTGAATTTGTTATAAAAAACAACTATATAATATCAAGTCTACTTCGTGGAAAGAAAGGAAGAAAACAAATGAAACGAATAAAGCAATAAAGTTGATTTTTAGTAGATATTTTATATACAATTAATTTAACTTTTTAAACTATTATTTATTGTACAATGTTTGATATAACATTTTGGTCGTTTCAAAGATCTTTTTTCTACATTTAAACATAATTTTTGTTATTTATTATTTTTATTCTTTTTTTCCCCCTCAATCATTAGAGCAAGCTATATGACAATATATTGTACTTCTTTTTATTTTTTCTCCTTCTATTCTTCTCTTCTTAAACTTACATTAGCGCAGATCGCAAAGATCAGGTATAAAAAAATTTTAACTCGATAAATATAATGTATGTGTGTGTGTCTGCGTGTGAGTGATGAACGTCTACGAGTTGGAACTCATACGAAACTTTTTTTTTCTTGAGGTATAACGTCCATTCTACGAATAATTTTTTTTTTATATCTAGTCTCTCATTAACCAATTTGGTTTGCGTCAAAGTTTTAATTTGTTGGATTTGAAGTCCATAAGTCTATTTTTTTTTTTATATACACAGCCATGGAACGATTATTTATCAAAATTGAGATAATTTTAAATACGTTTTTACCTTTTTTTTTTTTAAATACATCATTTTCAATTCCTATTTATATTCAATTCATCATTAAATGTGATGAATTAATAAAATAAAATAAACAAAAAAAGAAAAAGAAACGAACTGCGGGATTCTCCTACGATGACACAAAAAAAGCCACGATTATTAATTGCAAAAGCTAATAAATATTTTGCGGCATTTATTTTTTTACATCTCAAGAATATTTTCTTTTTAATATTATTATTATCTTTTTTTTTTTATATATGAATATATGTTAATGCAGTTATTATTTCTCTGTCTCAGAAAAATAGCAGTTGATTATTTTAGCAAAGTGTGGTGAACTCTCGAATGAAAATCGATGCATCAGCAAATATGTGTGACACCAGTAACAAACGTGATAATTATTTGAGTTTCAGGAATCTTTAGAAAAATCCTGTCAACAAATACCAATTGTAAGACAAGAAATCTGAACAGCGTCATGATCATTCCGTTTGAGACTCAAATGATTGATAGAAATGTTGGATCCGTTGTCAGATGTCGTGTAAAGATTGTTCTTTGATCTCAATTAGCATCAATTCGTTGCAAATCAATCTAAGCGATCTTTTGGAAGAACTTTAACGAAGCAATACTACACTCTTGTACTCCAATGCAACTGATACTGATCTTTGCATTCCTAACATAATAATAATGCTAATAATAATAATAATAATAATAATAATACAAATAAAATAACTTAACGAATAATTAAAGTAATTAAATCCGCTTGAAGTAAATAGGAGACAATTTTATTTCTACAATTTTCAGTCGATAATTATCAGTCGTGATATCGTGTAAAGGAGAAACAAAAACAGATCAAAACTTATAAAAACAGGAAAAAGTAAAATAAAAACAAGAAAAAAGAATATATATATATATATATAAGTAAATTTGTTTAATACAATTAAATTTAAAAAAAGAAAAAATGTGCGAATGAATATCATGCAATAGAAGTGATTTCAATTGAAAATCTGTTTTTTTTTTTAGAAAGAGAGTTATTGAAGGATAAAAAAAATTAATAATAACGATGACTACATATTATAAATAATAATATAAATATATATATATATCGTTCTAATAATATATTATAAGTGTTTAATGTAAAATATTCCATTCTCTCTTTTTACGTTGTATCCAAACGTTATTTAATTTTGTTTTCCTTTTTTTTTTTATCTCTCTTTTTTCTTTTCTAAAAAAAAGAAATATGATAGCAGAGAGTGATATCTAAATAACAAACATTCGCATTGAGTATTTGCATAGCTGCAAACTTCGATATGCAAGGCTAGCTGACCGATAGTTCTTAAAAATGATTTTTAACTTTTACCAAGATTATATTTTTGTCTCGTAATTAGGCTTGCAGTTTGGACAAACTCTAGGCTTGCGATTTGACCAATCTAAAGAAGAACAAGAAGAAGAAAAAATAAGACCATTAGCCTATGAATCATTAGACTGTTAAAAAAAATAAAAAAAAAAGAAATAACTTGAATCCTGATATGTAAAAAATCAAATTTAAGAACTCTTAAGGCAGCCCAAAAGCGACCCTGTATTTTGGTCTATTTGCATATTTTTAAATACTTCAGAAAAAATATTTCCTTCAATTCTAATATGCGCCTTGTGTTTTTTCCTCGATGCAATAAATATCGTTATAAAAAATACAAGAGAAATTATATAGAGATAAACAAGACACCATTGTGTGTGTATGTGTAATGTGTTATGTGTTATGTGTTATGTATGTATATATCCCTCCCTATCCAACACATTTATAAACTTTTTAACTAGTCCCGTATTTGCTGCTCTCGAATGTACCTCGTCTAAAAAAGTAACTAAATTCCAATAAGGATTGTTTATCTATATTACTCAAATTACCGTTATATTTATATAATGGTTTGCACTGAGGTAATTTAGAGCAAACTTGAATTAATCGTCTAAGATATTCCTCAAGATGTTTTCTACGTTGTCGCGCGACCACTTCGTTTCTTGGAAAGAAAATACGTGGAGGAAAACGTATTCCTGCTACCTGTTTAAAAAAACAAATTCATACGTCGTATATATATATATATATATATAAACATAGAAAATAATATTTACTGCTATAAGTATTAGAAAAACCAAAGAAATATTTTATAGGTACCTTACAACCATACTTCTTACTCATCGAAATGTACAACTCTCGAAATGTTCTATATCTTCTTAACAACGTCCAACTGTCGTCTTGTGCTACAATTCTAACTTCGTATTCGTAATGACTGTAAGTACCAGCTCCACGTATCACGTATGAAGGTACGCTAATGATCATATTGATCACGTTGTCACAATCACCATCGTTTGCTATTAACGATGGTAAAGACCTCGTAATCGTTAATGAATAAGGACTGCTCAAACGATCGCTACGATTTTGACTCTAAGATGATACATAATTAATGAATATTATTATTTTCATATTTTTACAGATTGATTACAATCAAACAACTTACGGTTAGATAGACCGTAGAATAACCACGTCCGGAAGATATTCTTGAGACCATCGATTCGGAGGTAACATCTTCATTGGTATTAGGCCTATTGTTCCTGAATAGATGAGATCTCGTAGTAGCTACAGTCAAAAGTGTAGCAGAATTATTGGTAGATGATAAATCGAGATACGATTTAGTATCTATTTGTGTACGATCATCCCCAACAACGCTGTTAGTCGATAATCTATCATCCTCGTTACTTAAAGATTTAGGATTCTTACGTTCATCTTCCAACAACGATACCTCCAACTCTATTTGTTGTTTCTGAAGATCTTGCAGGATAGATATCTGACGATTGAGATCTTCCTTAGATGGTGTACTAGATTCCAAACATCTCATCACCATCATTCTCTGACGTGCTATTCTTTGGTTCAATCTTTTCATTGCAGGATTCGATTGAATCGGTGATTCCAACGAATCTTGCAAAATCTCGTCGGTCTCCATGGTAGAATTTGTATCATTGTCATCTTTATTAATTTCAGTATTACTCGTACTTTCATTGGAAGACTTTCTTTCAATGTTATTTAATTTTCTAGATTCTTCTTCTTTAACGTTTGAATACAAATTCGTTGAACCATTGACCATTTCTTGTAATTTTTCTTCTTGCCTTACTTCTTCTTGTTCTTCCTTATCATCCTCCTCTTCTTGTTTTTTCAATTCCTTATCGCTCATTTCTCTTTCTAATTTGTCACGATTATTTTCTATGACTTCTTGAAAAAGTAATCGAGGTTCCGGCGAATCACCGGCAGCAGTGTGAAACGTTTCACCAGTGTCTACAGAACTTGGTATATCCTGAGGTAGCATACTAAGTGCTGAAGCTATTTGCAATTTTCTATTACAACTATCTTGAAACGATTTCAATTCGCAACCAGACACCAACTCATCTCCGCTCGACATTTTTTCACTTGGCGAAGCTGGCAACGCACATTTTAAATTCAATGATAAACTTTGCTTACGTCGAACTATTTCTTCCAATTGTTCCTGAGATCTTTTAGCTAAGAACACTTTTTTTTCCGTTGATCCATCACCTTCCTGCTAAAAATAATATCAATTAGTTAAGTCATTTTATTGAATGTTTAGATTTTCTTACTCACTTCTAAATTATAAATGTGTTTTTGTTTTTTAGCTATCTCCATTAATTCCTCTTCCATTTTGTCCACTTTGTTCTGATGCTCGTTTAAGGATTTCATCTTGTTTTGCAATTCTGTTTCCAATACTGCCAATTCCTTTTTCTATCAGCAATTGTATACAATGTTTAAGAAATGACTTAAATTGACATTAGAACTTTTCAGGGTAAAAATAATTTGTCAAGAAAAAAAATATTGGGATATTTTCGAAGTGAAATAAACAGGAAAATGCTTACGTGATGATTGACGAGTTCTCTGACAGCGTCAACACATTTCTCATCGTTCAAACTTGACCAAGATTCTGGCAAACTTCCATCGCTTCCACCACCACCTTCGTCCGTCTGAAATAATCAACAATTATTTTCTATAAAATGAAATTATTTGAAGAAAAACATCTTGACGGACCTTAACATCCATCCGGTTTCTCAACATCAATAAATAGAAAGATGTTAATAATCACAGTTAATGAAATTATTAGCAAAAATATATACATATACAAGTGTGTAGTAAGGAAAAATAGAAACATCAAATATAAAAGAAGAGCATCTTTCATTTTAGTACATGCAACAAATAATTGCAAGTAGATGTTAATTTAATTATTATTATTATATATATATATATTTTTTGTTGTTGTCGTTGATTGTGTTGTTGTTGGTGTTGTTGTTGTCTAGCATAGATCTTACCTTTTCCCATCGATGATGTAACTTATGCGAACGTTCGTGACTATTTGAAAATTCTTGTAACTGACGATGCTTGGACTGCAATGTTGTGCGTAGAGAGGCGACTTCCCTACACAAACTTTCTACCTGGATACGATACACAATACATCTATGCGTTAACAAAAAATAATTCAAGAGAAATCATATTTAAGATGCCACCGGATATATCATAATAATAATAATAGTATAATAGTAGTAATATATAAATCTAATTAATATTAATTAACTACTATTAATAATTCTACCTACCACACCATCGGTGTCTCTTTTGTTTATGTGTTTTTGTTTAATTGTTTGTTTGTCATTTTATTTTTATACATGAATATGAAAGAATTTGTATGGGATAAAAAGTGGATCTCAGGTTTCCCATTTGTGCATTATTTGCATTGTGCGTTGCTGCAGATATATTTGCTGGTGCATAGAACAAATATTTGTCAAATATTTTTTAGTTATATTAATTATTGTCAATCCAATGTAATTATTAGTCAACTCAATGTATACAAATATTTGTCAAATATTTTTGAACAGCGACATATTACGTGTATAAAACTTTTCTAACAAATTATCGTGCGACCTTGAGATGACGACAACGACGATGACGAGGAAGACGACGAGGACAACGACGACGATGACGATGATGACGACGACGATGATGACGACGATGACGATGATGATGACGATAACGGTCTAATTAAAAAGAAATCATGCGTCATATTGCTATTATTACATTACCTTTTCTTTTTAAACGCGTGACATTTGATGCACTTAAGAGATTGATCCTAAATTATAAATTAAAAATAAACAATATTACAAACAAAACTAATAATAAATATAATTGGGTTTGTTAATCGGGATTATACGTTCATTTTTACAATAATAATCGTGTATAAAAATTATTTAACAGTGTCAGTGTATATAAATATAGAAATATAAAAAATATGAATGTAAAAAGTGCACATCAAAAATAAGAAAAAATAGAAGAAACGCTTCGTAGAAGATCGACAGCCAATTTTGGTAGAGTGAGAAAAATTTATTAATCAACAATAGTAATAATAATAATAATAATAATAATAATAATAATAATAATCATAATAATCATAAACATAATAATAGTCACTAATAACTAATAATTAATTAATAATAATATCGGCAATATTAATAATAATAATAATAATAATGTTATACAATGATAATAATTATTTCCTTCTCGCATAACAAACCCATAGAAACAATCTAATATAAATATTAAATATATAGAACAACAAGGCTTCTCAAAGTATCGATTTTTCAACAAAATTTTAGAACCAACAACACACGTTTATAGTTTGTAAGTTTATAATAACGAAAAGTCTATACCCAGGGTTATCAAAATATTTGCTCGAGTAAACGTAGGTCGAAAGGGTGGAGGGGAAGGACAGGTGGTTTCGGTCACCAAGCGTTAAAAAAAAAGGTTTGAGAAGCCCTGATATAAAACAACAAGGCCAGTGCTATATATACAAAAAAAATGTGATGTTTGTTTTTAGTTAAAATGATGAAACTAATATTTGCACATATATATATATTTATAAAATACTTAAGATATTTAAACAATCCACGGAATGACATTTCTCCGGCAATAGCCCTCCACAGCACCGGTAGCCTACAATTAGTATATTCAGCCGTATTTGCAGTTCAAGAATACTACTGCACATCTCACTTTCTCTTTCATTCTCTCTCATTCTTTCTCTCTTTCTTTCACTCTCTCTCTTTCTTCCTATTTTAAATATATTATGAACTATTATATATAACTATATATATATTAGCGACTATTTAATAGTCTGGATAATAGTTATATAATTAATAATAATATTAATAAACAAGAAACAGGAAAAATAAAATAAAACAAACAAAAACAAGAAAAATAATTAAATGATCACATAGCAATACCCTAAGACCTGCATAGGAATCTAATAAATAATCACATGTAATTCTAACATAGTTGACAAATATTGTTCCTTTTTTCTATTCAAAAAACAAACGAGACAAACTCTCTATTATGGCAGTCGTTGTTAATATTTTCGTTATCCTGCAATATATTTTTCATATATTTTGTTTTTATATATTAAGAAGTTTTTGTTATACTTGTTTAATCCTTAACTGGTAAATTAGAGAAAAGGGGTGTCTCATAAACCTTCATTATAGTATTCACATAATAAAATGTTCATCATACCAGTTAGGGATTAAAGAATTGCCGAAGTTTGAAGGCACCTTTAGAACAAATCCTAAGTAATTTTAATACTCGACGCTTATTTTTGTCTTGTTTAAAACAAGGATAAGAAAGAATAGGAATAGATAAACAGACAGACAAATAGAAAAGAATAAGAAGAAGAAATAATAAAAAGTGTAGTTAAAGAAAAGAAAAAAAGAAAACAACAGGTGCAATATAATATCACATATTTAAAGGACAAACGTGCGAGTATATGATGATGTTGCCAGACAAGCAAATAAGGACACCGAGAGCAATGAGGACCAGATAGAAGTGATACTTGACCGATATAACATTTAAATCCGTTGATGTTGCATCCGAGGAGTCACTTACTTGCGTCATTTCGTCGCGTCGTTCTTGTTCCAGGATTTGACGACGCGTACGTAGTTCACGTTGCCTGGATTCGAGACTAGCAATGGCATCAGCCCATTCCTTCCATTGGGCACCCCATTCTCTCTCCAAATCACGCTGGGCACCTTCCAGAGCTTCTCTCCTAGCTGCCCATCTTTCCTCGCGTTCTTCCTGCTCTCTCTAAACAGAAATACATAATCAAATTGATAGGACGTTGTCAAGAAGAACACAGGTAGGTAGGGATACTTCAACCAACCTTGAAATCTTCCTTTTCTTTAATCAAAGCTGCCTTTTGTTGTTCCAATTCTTCCAAGGCACGAAGATCCTCGCTCGAGTTCAAGAGATTGTCGCTCGAAGAAGAAGCGTGAAGATCCGATACACTCCAGCTTAATAATGACAATCTCGAAAGATTGACAACAGTTGATTGTAGATTTCCATTCCCTGTACCACCCTCTTTCCTCAGCTTAGCTGCTTCCGCTGGATCGTTGTAACGAAACATGTTGTTCCTACCCAATAGGATGATACAACCTTGCGATAATCTAGTTGGCTTGTCCACTTGGGCTGTGTTGATCCAGCAGTGCGAGGAAAGAGGGTGTAGGGTTGCTACACCATTGTCTAGTTCCACTACACAGTGTTCCGGCTCGACGTCAGGACCGGTCAAGACAATGTCCTGTTCAATTAGACAAGAGAATACTTTTGAGGATTCATTATTAAGTGTTTCGCATTAAAAAAAGGACAAGGTTTGTGGAATGAAGCATTTTTCACGAGTTGCTAATGTGTGTTTTGTTTAATTGATATGTTGCTACCTGCGTGGTAGCAGCCTCCTCGGTTCCAACTAACGTTTTTCCTTCTTTCAAATGATAAAGCGTAACACCAGTGCTAAGTAGATCGTCGTCAATGCCAACCAAATGTGGCATCTCCGAATCTAAAACAACACCGACTCCACTTTTACGAAGACCAAGGGCTTTCTGTTCCTGAAGAATTTGTTGGGTTTCTCTCCACTTTTCCGTCCATTCCTCGGTCAGCACCTTTTCTTGTTCTTGTTTCTCGTGGATTTGGGCTAACAGCACCTGCGGTGGTCTTTCTATGCTCTGTACAAGGATTGACTAAATTGTGATCAAAGGTACGAGTCCTTTCATTCTTTTAATGATCAACTAGCGTTCAAATAATTAATTACATCATTTATACTTGCCATGTCTTTTCCAATGAGGGACTTCAACTTCTGAATTTCTTCTCTCAACTCTCTGATTAATTTAACATTAGGATCCTCGTTAATGGTAGGCTTGTTGATAATATTCTTCGCCCTATTGGCATACCTGAGAGTACTCAAGGTCTCCCCGTAATTACAATCTGCAGGACTGATAGCAGCTATCATAATCGTCTTTGAATTTCCACCAAGTGAATCTTTGAGCAACCACGTTAGCACGCTGTCTCGATATGGTATGAAAACGTTTCGTTTGGAAGAAGAAGAATCTCCCGATGAGCTAACCTCGGCCAATGCCGATATCACAGATCCTAAAGTCACCAGTGATTTGTTAATGTGTGCACCCTCTTTCAGTCGTTGTCCCGTTGCTCCGGTCGCGTTAGCACGTTCGCTGGAAAATTAAATACAGGGAGAGAGAACGAGAAATAATCGTAGACTGTGTTTTACAAATACGAGGGGTCAGTCAATCATTATCTGCAATTTTAAAGGGTTGCTGTTCCTGTACCTTCAAACGTTTATCAAATACTTTCAAAAACATTGTGCAGAAGAAGTGTAATCGACTTGGTTTGTAACATTGCAGATAATTTTTTTCATTGTAAAACTTTGCGTGTTGTGGTTGCAATTATTGAAGGATTGACTACCTTCCAGCCAAGTCGACGAGGTGCACTTTGGAAACAGTTTCCGACGGCATATTGCCTTCAGAAAAGCCGGCTTGTACAAATGTTATTGTAAATATCGCGTGACTCCTGCTACTAACATCGTTCATATTTGTACTAGCTGTAGTCCTGTGCGTATTACCTCTCACCATGCATTCCTATTAAAATAATCATCATTAAAGTGATTTATATATATATATAACGGTCTTGATTTCAGTCATTTATTACTTAATGTGTAATGTGAATTTCTGAACCTGTATATCTGAATAATCATAGACCAAATGACTGGATAAATCTTGAACATATGGACCACGTTTTGGATGTTCTCGTACTCTCAAAGAATGAGATTGCGTTTGATCTATCTTTAATAGGTCCTTTACTCTCTCGTTGTGTATTTCTAGAAAGGACACTTCCGTCCTGTACGATGCTCCACTTTCTTTCCCAGCGGCCATCCTCGCGAATAATGTCTTGCAGATTCTTGGTATCAAACCCTGAGACTCCTAAGATTGATATATCAAGATTTTGTTTCTTTTTTCTTATACGATTTCATATATTTTCATTGGATTTGTTAGGATCGTTACATTTTTCTATTTAATATTATTGTTTTTGAATTTGTAATATTACCGGTGAACCCATCATAGTAAAGGTTTTTCCAGATCCTGTTTGACCATAGGCAAATACACAGGCATTGTAGCCTTCGAAGGCACTTTCTATAACGTCCGTACCAAGATCATAAAAAACCTAAAAAAAACCATACATACATGGGAAGGGAGAAAAGAAACCAATCAAATAAACCAATCAATTAATTTCTAAATCGATTTTGATTTATTACGATTGAAATAATCACCTCTTCTTGGGAGGCATAATTATCGTCGGTCAGATCAAAAGACCAATAAGAATGATCAAAAGTGAAGTCCTTGTATTTCTCTCGGTCGATTTCTCTGCAGCTACCCGGTGTCTGAGAAATCGTCAAATTGCAATCAAACAAATAAATGTTACTATAACAATTGCTGTAAATAGAAGTTTAACAATTTCTTTGTATATTTTATTCATTATTATTAGGTATTATAATTATCGATAGGATAGAGTTTGTGTCAAAGTTCACGATAGTAAACAATAATGCTTTGCAATTTAATTTATTTTTATATGCACACACACACAGATAAAAAGATCACACACGGGAACGTAAGCGCGTAAAAATAGTTGCTCGATATCAAACGATTTTACTTTACCCATCGAATTTGATTTGCAATACAATTTTAATTAGAAATCTTTTGTTAATTAACTTTAGATAATTACAAACAGATTAATCTTAATGCGAAATTTCAATTTGATCTAATTTTAATTTCTGTTTTGATTTTATTTTCTATTAATTATAATAGTTGAAAAGTTAATAAGAATAAATGTATGAATCGTAGACAAAACGACTTTATTTTGCTCATAGATTTTCTCACTTTCTCCTATTAGTGGCGAGTATTTCTATCCGACTACTACTTGGATTCCAAGATAAGAGATCTCCAATAACGTCGAGTAAATGCACACACACATACACGTACGCGTGCATGAATGCACGCATGCATGCACACGTTTATAGATTTTATGTACACAAGAAATAGAAACATAGAAAGAGAATGATGTATACCAATGAATATGTGTATGGGTTGAGTATATATGTACATTTGATGTAACATGAAACACATTACGAGTAACGAGTTGTGTCGTGGTCAAACTAAGAACAAAACAGAAAGACGCAGATAAACTGATGGTCGCGTGTTATATTATTATTTGTCAATAGCAATGAAAAAAAAAAAATTTTAAAAGGAAGAAGCAACAACAGGTATAAAAATATGAACAATCATTTTTTTACTTTCTCCATTGCAAGGATTCAAATGAATTTGGTGGGAGTAGTAAAATGTTGCATCGAAAGAAATTCAATGTTTTTTTAAAGTTTTCAAATATTTCATAGATATTAGTGTTTGTAAATTAGTGTATATCAGAATTTCAAAACGAATGATCCAATATTGTAAACATTTGCAATGGGAATACTTAAATAACCGATAAATTTATGAATAATTCTATCCATTGGTATAACAAATAATAGATTCGGTAGTTGGGATTGAAAATGCATTAAATTGCAACGAAGTTAGAGACAGATCCGTCTTGAAAGGAAGGCGAGAGTCGTTAACCTCGATTATTAATAACAGTTCTTGGATCGTGCAAAAGAGTTTAAGAGAGAGAGAGAGAAAGAGAGAAAGAAAAAGAGAGTAAAGAAAAGTCGGCCCGTATTCAAGTTTGACCCGTTACCGATTTACACGTACATATAAACACACACACATATATATGTATATATAAAAAAAATACTAACTATAATTACAAGGGGTGATAATAGTGGGGGATTGTTTGAAATGAGTTTAGGATCGAATTGAGAATCAAGGGGTTGAGGAGGGGGGGGGTCGAAGAAGGATTATTTTGATAGAAGAAGAAGAATTATACCTTGGTACTGAAGATACGAGTTCTCTTGCCGTCCATCTGCACGATGTTCTTCGCGTTCATGGCCAGTTCTCTATAAAACAAAACAAAACAAAAAAGTAACGTGACAGCGGCAATAAACTCTTCTTCTCTCCTATTTTTCTTCTATTATAACAGACACGTACGCATTCAACACACATATTCAATACACTGCACGATTTCAAAGTGTAACCGTGCAAGATTACATTCTGCAGGTGATGGTGGTGTTGGTGGATCACATTTACGTGTATAAGAAAACTCAAGTTTCCTTGATGTTTTTTTTCCATTTGCTTGTTTTGTCTATCACTGTTAACGTGTAAGAGACAAACAAGGAAAAAGGAAGAATGGAAGTTGATAAAAAGAACTTTGGGTTGTTTGACGTTTCACATCTGATCAAAATCATTTATACCTACAAACGCATACCCACCCACATACTCACACACACACATACACAGGACATAACGCACACACCTTTTATTAAAGGGTCGAACCCTGACGGCCACCTTAACCGAAGCCATGGCTGCGTTGAGCGCATGGATCGTTTCTCTTTCGGTTTCCTAGCTGACTCCTCTTTCCCTCTTCCTCAATTTGCTTCTCCACCACCTCCTCTTCTTCCTCTCTTCCTCCTCTTCCTTCTCTTTCCTCTTCTTCTTCTTCTTCTTCTTCTCCTTCTTCTTCTCCTTCTTCTTCTTCTTCTTCTTTTTCTTCTTCTTCTCTTCCACTACCTTCAACTTCCCTCTCTCTCACTCTTTTTCAAGTATTCCTTTTTGCACCTTGTTCGAAAGCACATAGGTAGACTAGAACGAAAGGGTTAGAAGCGTACTATTACTGTGCTCTTGTTATGTTGTTCTTCTACTTGTTGTACTACGACGACGATGACAACGATCTCCCTGGTGTCCCGAGGCTAAGCGACAGATGCATCCTCTTCCTCCTCGAGTACCCTCGACAATCTACTACTCCGCTTACGTCCTCCACGTCCAGCTTGAACAGCCAGTAGTTGCCTGTTGTTCTCATCAACCACGACGACGACCGACATCGTCCCTAACACTTTCACGTCGCGACGGACGGACGATTACTGACACTCTAACAGAACGTAGTATCCAAGATTCAAACGCCATCTTTGAACAGAATTCTATCGAAAGTATCAGTGCGCAAGCGTTATTTCAATCCCTCCCCCACAATGCAACCCAAACCTTTTTCCAATTCTCCTCGTGTGAGTATTATTCTCACTCGCGCAGGGAAAGTCGGAGAACAACCATACTCAGTTACTCTTTCTCTCTCTTACGTTGTATATTAGGTATAGACATTATATTTTTTCCAATTTTTTTTTCTTTTCCCTCAACTATAAGATCCTATTACAATATTCTAGGTATAGGATTGTTTTTTGTTAATATTTGAGTTATTTATCAATGTCCCAGGTAGATTCAAACCACTTCCAATCATCTTAGCATTCCTTTCAGATGACTAGTAGTGTTGTTAGGTTCTAGAAAGATGGTACTCCCATGATAAACCAAATCTGGATAGTAAACTCTCCCCCTTAAAGGACAGTTTCTCATTTCAAGGCTTTAATGATGTCCCACGTGCCTTAAGCAACGCGTGACCGAGCGTTTTCATGTTGCAAAATGACGTGGCTTGTTCAGTTTTCGTTACAGTTCATTTTATAAAGTGGTTATAACTGTTTTGTTATTGTTTGATCAGGTGGTAACAACACAGTTTGTTTCTTACGAATATTCAAATAAAAATCGTCTTTGAAATCGTTGATGAGAATATTTTTTATACGTTTTATAAGTTAGATATAGAGTCCCTTCCTAATATTGGACACAAATGTGTCGGTGACGTAAGTGATACTTCCGACATGACAACGTGACGTTTATAAATTGTTTTAGATAGATTGAAGGAAGTCAATTATAAATGGTTATACTGTATTTTTTTATATAGCATCAAGGGTGCTGATCAAATTCAAATTTGAACAGAAGTTCGCGAAAAGTTCGTAAATTTTATAAAAATTTGTAACACAACAAACGCACACGAATTTTTGATTCACCATAATAATTAATCAATTTTATATTATTATTCTTATGATTATTTTTAAAAATGTTTATAGGACTGTCATTCAAAAAAATGCATGAATTATTCGAATACATCGTAGCATCATCTGGTTTTGAATATCCTCAGGTCAAAGTGTCAGTGACATTAATCTCTTATATCATCTGGAGAGCATGAAGAGAACTCGTTAAATATATTGGAGATAAAACTCAACGCACATACGACACAACCATAATCTACGATACACTACATGTATATAAATATGTAGATGTTTTGAGCGATGCATATTTTTCTTGGTTGGCATAGACATGCAGCCTGCACGTTTCGATGATAAAAAAGAAAGAAGTTTCAGCGGGAGCTGGGGAGGGTGGTAGGAAAAAAAGATACGGGAGGAGAGGAAGGAACAGGTTTTGTTCTCCCTCCACGAAGCATGACGTTACTACAAGATCATTTGGTAGAAAAGTGTGTGTGTATATGCAGGAACCACCTACGCGGAAAACACTGTAAAAGAAAAAAGAAAAGTAAGAAAGAGAGAGAGGGATAAATTGCACGCTTTGCGATTTCTCTAACGCGTAACGGGGTTTGCAAAGAAAGAAAGAAAGAAAGAGAAGGAAAGATAAATATTTTTTGTATTCATAGTTTCGTTCTCTTTTTACGATTAAGGGGATTTGTCATCGAATCCGCGTTTGGTACGAATCCAGGAAAAATAAATGTTTCATGAAATCAATTACATTTTAAAATACTTTGCTGACTGTTTAAAAACCAAGAATAAAATGAATTATAAAAGTAGATTAAAAAATGGTAAAGATATGGGTATATGCAATATTAAAGTTTGAAAATTGTTCCTGCAAACAGGAATAATGGAATCATTTTTCTTACAGAAAATAAAGGGTAATGTTTGGACTTATAAATCAAAATAAAAAAACATAACACATTGCAGTAAAATAAAGTAAATATATATTTCATGGTTAGGTAAGGAAGACATTAAATACGAAGGAAGTAAATTCATTCTGTTTTAATGAATGAATGCGAGACCACGAGGGAAGGAGCAAGATCATTTACACTTACTGTATTTCGTCTGCGTTTTTAGTCTCGTGTTAGTTGAAACAAAAAATGATCTACCAATAAAAAGTAGTAGAGACAGCTTTTTTTTTCTGGTATTAGTTTATATAAGATAGAAAAGTATATTTTATTTATATAATCTCGAAATTCCGTTATGTATCGATAACCGTATATGGTCATGGGAAAGTAAGTAAGTAAAGTATGTATTAGTATTGTATCAGATTAGATAGAACCGTACTTGCTACGTAAATTCTAGATTTGAATTATGTAAACAAGAAATTTGTATGTATGATACGATCATCGTAATTAAACTTCATTCTAGATGCAAATTATATTCTACCTACGTAACATTCTATTAATTTATAAATCATTAACGATTTATCCTGATTCGTCATTGTCTCGATACCATGAAGATAATTACACACGATGTTTAGATACAGAGAATGAACAGAGAGATATGGTATGGTAAACCCGTTGCGAATGCACTAGCTAACTTTAATACAAACGTCGGATTACAGTTGACCCAGTTACCAATGACCACCACTGAGGTATACATTTTATCTTATTCTAGACATGGATCTATGCAAATTATCTTTCATTGCATTCAAATAAAATTCTTAATTATTCAATTTTAACGTACCGTCATATATTTACAGAATTGTTTGGTTTGTTTTCGAACAAATGTCCAATTAATCTTCGATTGCATTTGAGCACTGTTAGCCAACGAAGTCATCTACTTTCATAGAAAAATTCTATACCACAGTTTGGTGGCTAGATGGGAACGATCAAGAAACAGAACCTTGAAAAGACAAGTTATACGATATGCTCCACGCATAGTGATTCATAGTCGATTGGTTTGACGTAATCGTGCCTCAACTACCAGATCAGTAATAAGGTGTACACTCGATCACCATGTTTTAACTTTATTCACGTTGACACTTCCGTTCGTAAAATTATAAATGAAACAAATATAGTCATTCGTTTTACTGACGATTATGACAAATCGATTTTTTGAAGTAAAAACTTCTTTAGAATGGGTGTGATTTGAAAAAATGAAACACGGTGATGTAGTGGGGAAAGGAAACGGCCTTAATATTACGTAAGAAGAAAAAAAGAGACAAACATATCATAATTTATAAATTATCATTATTTATAAAAATATTTGATTTGCAAACATTTTTAAAAGTGTTTTATTATTTAATTTCTTTGTAATTATTATAAAAATTCGCGCCTGTATGAATGCAACCCTCCAGACATACTTTGAAAATGTTGCTTGAGAGTGCCATCTGTCGGAACGGAATTTTTTTCTGCCCAAAAGATAGGCAACCCGTCATACATACGTGTATAAGCAGTTTTGATGGTAAAAAATTCCGTCCCAGTAGATGGCGATCGCAAGTAACTTTTTCAAAGTGTGTCTGGAGGGTTGCATATAAACAGGCGCGCATTTTTATAATTTCATTAATAATTAAATAAATAATTACAAATTAAAAGTTAAAATAATATTATAATAATATTATATAATAAATTATCCTTGAAACTTGTTTATTTGAAGGCTTCATTTCTAACTTGTGTGATATGCACACATGAAATAAATAAAATTTGGTGTATACAATATGAAATAAGATAATTAACATGGGAATATAAATTAGAAATCTATTATTATCAACGTCAGGAAAAATAGAAGACTATTATTATTGACGATAGATATTAGAAAAGTAGAGAACTACTAATACCAACGTGGGATTCTTAAAATCGATAACACAGAGACCTGTTATTTATTTATACAAAAAAAGAGATCAAGCAGGGACAAAGTTGATAGGAATAAAATATCCAAACTTTCTTTATATACGGCTGATGATTTCAAAACATCTACGATTCTTAATAATAAAACCCTTCTTTTATACAAGGAAACGTTTTAAAAACATTCTCTGCATGAACTTGTATTATATCTTTTCTAATAAAACATTTTATTTGCAGGGGGTGTAAGAAGAAAGAAAAAGGAAAAGAAGGCCAGGCCTTTTACACCTGGCGGGTGGGTAAGCGTCTGAGTGGTTTAAAAGATTGCAGATGGCGTAGTAAGTTACAGTAGTCGATGGAGTCAGGGTGGTGGCAATCGTGAACGAAGGGAAGCCTTGGGCTGCTGATGTCTTCAGTCAGTCGGGTGGCAACCATCGAGTGTGTTGTTTGTGTTGAGCCTGTCAAAAGAGGTAGGAAAAGAACTATCTCCACGCAAGTGCGTTAGTTACTTTTCAAGGGGATTACCGAACGGGGGTACACAGTGTGGGTATATAAGAGAATAAAAAAAGCTAAGAAAAGGAAAGAAACAAAATAAGAAGATAGAGTGTTAAACAAAGAAGAATGACGATTATAGTAAAAGGAGGTGAGACGACGGCGTGCCTGAAGAACATGTGATTTTAAAACGATAAAACCAAGTTTTCCAATCCAATCGGCGGAGGTAATCGCTGATTTTCAACGACGAGTGTTGGGAAGGGGGGGCGGGTTTTAAGGATCAAATTCTTCTTCATATCGTATTAAAGATTGTACACATAAGTTAAAAAATTGTCTTTCGGATTGTCGACGACGTTGTCGTTGAAAAAGGGGTGGTGGTGGTGGTGGAGAGAATAATTTTCTCTCGAGCAGTAGTGAACAGCAACGAACGAACCACGCACGCACGCACTCACATCATGGTCGTCGCGAAACACTTCACTCAGGGTGAGTCGTTTCTGCTCTTTTCTTTACCCCTCTTATTATTCTCTCTCTCTCTCTCTCTCTCTCTCTTTCTTTCTTTCCCTTTAACTTTATCTCTTTTATTCTAGTTTTTCTTCATATCTTTTTAACTTTTCTCCCTATTCTTTTTTTTTCTTTCCTCCCGTGTCCCTTTTTGTTACGATCTTAACGAGAAAGCGTGAATGAAACGACAAGAGACACATGTAAGCTTTATCTTCTTTCTCTTTAACTTCCTTCAACTCTTTCTCTTCTTCTTCTTTTTTCGATGCAGCAGCAGTAGCAGCAACCTCCTCCTCTTTTTCTTCCTCTTCTTTTCGCATAGGTGAAATGTGGCCTTGCATAAGAGAAAACTTGGGTGGTGCAACTTGATATCTTATGAGGGTGACAATATAAAGATGGGTAATCGTAGGAACGTGTTCTAATTCGCTCCTCGAATCAACACACTTTCTTTTTAACAAAAACTATACCTAAAAATGAAAATAATGAACATTTCGTAAGATTTTTCGTATTTATTTAATATATATTTTTCATGCTACTATGATCATATTTTAGTTATACGAACAGTAAGTCAAATGTTTGACTAATTCGTAATGACAGTAATTGACTAACGTTTTATATATTAAGTTTAAAAAATAGCAAAGTGCTCGGAGTCAGAGTCAGTCTGCTTGTCTCTTCCTTTGACGCTCATGTCTGTGAGTGTCATTGATTTACAAGAGAGGTTTTTTTTTTTTAAAAAAAGAAAAACGAAGGGAAAGAGAAAAGTGTAGACAAAAGAACGAGACACTCGTCTCGTTGCTCGGAGCAACGAATTTTAGATACAATGATGTTCGAATTAGGGGACTACCTATGACATTAAAGTGAACGTTGTGCAATTTCATTATGAATCAAATTATTATTCTATTACGATGTTTTAACTTAGTTACAAGCACGATAATTATTATACGATAGGTACATTTTATGCTTCTTCTTGAACACTTTCATTTCGAAGAATTTTCCAAGCAACATGTCGGATATGGTAATTTTATTCTCATTAAAATAAAACTATGATATTTCTAATAAATCAATCAAACGATTATCGTATCATTTTACTATCTCTTTCTAATTTTTTTTAAATGAATCATCCATTCATTTTAATAGTTATACACACGTTAATGGATTGTTATAATCCAACATGACTGCTAAGATTCATTGACTTGATAAAATAATAATTAATATTTCTAATTTTTTTAGAATTATTTGAATGAATTCATTTAATTATGTTAATTATTTATCTAATAATTTCTATTATTTTTTTCCTCTTCCCAATTATTAGTTTTTGGGTAGTAAAATTGTTTGAACGTCCATCTTTCTTAGGTAACCTTTTTGTCTTTTACTTTGATCTGTTTTTTGGTTGCTCGTTAATAGGAATTGTGGACAGGTAAAAGCGTTTTAAAGTCAAAACTCTTGAAAGGAAAGTTAAATAGAAGAGACGGGAAAAGCAGATGTAAAGAGAAGATGGCGAATATTTATCCTGATAAAAAAAAAATAAAATAAATATAAGATTAGATATTTCCGACGAAATTCTAGAGAAAAAAAAATAAAAAAAAAGAGGGACAGTACGTGACTGTACATAAATGTTTATTCGATGTTAAAACCGGTACCAAATTTTCTTGGGCTAACACGATTAGTCACCTTTACGTTTTCATTTTCTTCACATTGAATCATTCTAATGATATTTTAATGATGCATATTTGTAGAAAGAAAACATTAAGGTAATAGGTGAATGAATGAAAATTAATGGGGAAACACATCCCCATTCACCACCCTCTTCCAAATCGTACAAATATAATCAATTAAATAACAATTACAGTAATAATATTAAAAAAAAAAGAAGAGAAAGGTAGGTTTGACCAAAAAAAATATAAACAAAGGGTGGTTAGAGGGGAAGGAAGGGGATAGGACGAGTATCAAGTTCGCGGCCCTTATTAAACGCGTTCGAATTAACGCTCGATTTATTTGCGCTCGCGTAATCTGGGCCATGTAGGGAGCACGAGACATACACATAAACACATATATACATATACATTAACTTTGGTCGAAGTTGGTGAGCAAAGGGGGACGTTCGATAAAAAGAAAGAAAGAAAGGAAGTATAGTAGTTACGAAGAGATGGAAAAAACGCTGCTGAGATCACACACACACACTCATATAAATACATATACACAACAGCTGTGTGAAGAATCCTTTTATTTCACTCTTGATTTAATTTACCGAGCATGGAATTTTCCAAAGCTTTTTTATATTATTTTTCTTTCCTTTCTTTTTTGCCCAGTGTGTGTGAATCCGCCATATTAAATACGTGATAAGCAACTATTGTCTATTTAATCATTTTCTCTGTTGTATATATCGGTTAACAAAGAATGTACGTGTGTTGATTTATTTTATTTTAACTTGTACTCGTTTTATCAAAATTCTTATGAATTTTTTTTTATTCAGAATAATGCAATAATATGTAAATGTATCTCTATATAAAACGGTATTATTATTATAATTATTTAACAGACAATTAGCTTGCATAAATGTTTTTAAATATGTACAGGTGTTAATGTTATTTCTATAGAATGTTATATTAGATAGGTTTCATATTAGATTAAACGTTTGACACAACTAAATGGAATTGGAGTTTTTTTCTTCTCATCAGATTACGCGAACGGAGACAGATTAGATTAAATAGTTGTGACGAGACACCAACTCTTTTTAAATTTATTTTTAATATCTTTATTAGGGTGGGTCAAAAAAATCAATTATTCTTTTTTTACAAGTGCCACGGAAAAATAGGTTGCTAGATACCTTAAAAGAATTCTCACTAAATATGAGCTCTTAATTTTAATAGGAAGATCCTTCGCATCGCAGTTTTTTATTTTTTTCTCAGTCCAATAGAATAAAATTCATATCTCATCATTAATTGATCGTAGAGAAAAATGTTCTAGATGAATTTTGTAGGAAATTTAATGCTCTACAAAAAAGGTATCTTATATTTTTTCCGTAAACCTCACCATTTGGATGATATTGAAGATTTAAGTTTGATTATTTTAAGACAAATTTCATTTTTTTTTTGTGAATTTCATAACTCGACAATGAATGACTATTATAAAATGCGCAATACAAATTTTTGTAGAAAATTAACTGCTCTATAAAAATGGTGTCTTATGTTTTGGCGATTAAATTAAGAGTTAAAAAGATATTCAGAGACAAAAATCAGTACACATGAAAGTTTGATGATGAAAAAATATTAATCTAATATAAACATTTGATAGAAACGTTTGACGAATTTTATGATCAACAGCAACGCGATATATTCTATATACGTATATGCAATTTATGTACAACGTACGTGTGTATGTGTACGTGTGTTTACATTAAATGTCAGGAGATATCAAAGCGTTTATGATAAAGTCACTTACAGTATAAATACGTACTTTGTATGTATCCAGTGTCAGGAGTACAAAGCACTTCGGTGACTTCGACCAAAAGGGAAGTTAGCACGATGAAAACGTTTACTTGTGTGTTACCTAAATGCAACCATGGACGGTTACTTCTTTATGTGGATGTCACGTAGAAGAAACAACAAGGAGAGAAACCGATTCGGTAAACGGATATTCTTAAACAACATCCGTTCTCTTTAGAAATTCTTATTGTTAAATAGAATTGAGATGAACAACAGAAAATAACATAACTAACAAATATATTCAAACACATTTATTAATACAGATCTTAAACACACACATATATGAAATATTGAAATATTTTGTAATCACAAAAGATTAGAAAAATATTTGAAAAAAAGATGATGTTGAACTTAGGATAAAAGAAGCACGTGAAAGATGTCTGAGGGGAACTTGGAATGAGTATTTCTTACTCTGTCTAACTTTCATATGTCCACACACGCACACACATTTATACTTTCTCTTTCTCTGTCGGATGCACGTAGAATGAGTCATGAGAGGCATCCTAGCGGTTCCGTCTTCCCTGGAATTTTGTCTCATCCTGGGATAGTCGCGTCGTTTGGTGTAGAATGCTCGAATTTCGGTTCTCTTAGAAGACAATTCAAGATGACTTACACATACATACACACACCCACATCCATCATAATATATATATATATATATATATATATATATGTTCACATTGTACACAGATACCATGTATACTTTGTCTTTTTGGACAGGTTAAAACGTCGAGTCTATGGTAATGAACGGAGTTAATTATTTCCTCCCGTTGTTAGGTGTCGTCGACCTCCCTGAGAACCTCTCCGAAGTCTCTCACTCAGCTTGACTCGTTCTATAAAACTTTCGACCTCGATCATCGACGTCACAATTTTTTTCGACTTCTAGAACACACGAGAGACAGAAAAAAAGAACAAATTTCACAGACAAAAATGTTTTAGATTGGTTGTTTTGTCAACATTGTTATTTCAAACATTAATTTGAAGATCATCATTCTGATGGTTGCATGACAATTCGAGAAGTGTTTGCTAGTTGAGTTTATCAAATATTATTAAGAATATAATGAGATTATATGAGAAGAATAGTGAAATGATCTAGGTACTTGCATATATGCATATACACATATACATATGTTTAATCCTAAGGTAGGGTAAGCTTCTTAAGAGCCGAACTTACAACTTGTTGTGTCGTTAAACTACTTTCCGTTACGTAATTAGACACTGGGTTTCGTTCCATGAAACGACACTTTATTAAACCATACATAATTCT